CCCCCCCTCCGCACCAGTAATATTTCAAAGGGGCCCCCCCTCCTCGCCGCTATTCTGAAACTGCCGGTGGGGTCACCGGTCACCCGGCGAGTAGCTCCTCACCCCTCCGCCAGTCGCTATGTTGCAGCTGCCGCGTTTGGGGGCTCTGTTCTTACCTGTGTACACATTGGTACACCGTAAGGGCGGGTTATTGTTCTTAGCAGCACGTCGGAACTGAGCGCGTGTTTTTTTGGCCAAGTTCTTAAATTTTACATTTTCGAGATTGCAATTCTTAACTACTACGCTCTTAGTGCAAGCACCATCTGTACCAGTCATTTGCACTCTAGGCCAATGATCTTCGTGAAAAATGGTGTCAGTACATAGTTTCATGTGGAATAGAGAGGAATTTCGTAGACAGTAGCGCTAACCATCACCATACCCTCAAAAATCCCACTGATTTCGTTTTTTGTCCAAATGTGTTGCGTAATAAAACTACGTAGGCTACCCACACAGCAGTGTCCCGGCCTGAATGAAGATGTAGACAGTCAGGATTAGGTCAGATGCAATTGTCAATTTCCACGGTAAATCTTAATACGTACCGTATCACAACAGTATCATGTAATAGCCTCATCTGTATGCCGCTGATTCTTGCTGTGGTTCGGTTCTCATGTGATGCCTCCACAAGCGGTCACCCTGCGCCCAACCCTGCTTCCGTCCTGCAGTGCCTCGTGTATTGGGTAGGTACACGACATCTTTGCGTCTGTTGCACTACTGCTGCCGCGAAGTAAAACACGTCGCTTTCTTGATGTTTTATCGCGTCGCCTTTCGCCGGCTTTGCCCTCTCCTTTGTCTGTCTCCACGTGCCGACAGGCTCTGGCGGTATTATTTAATGCCAACCTGCACTTCCTGCCCATGGCCTTCCAGGTGAGTCTACCAAATCTCCGCACATGCGTGAGTGATGCAGGTTGTATTGTATGCCCACCCCAGATCATGGTCTTAGGAATGTTTTTGCGTTTTCAACCGCACCGAGACTGACGTCTTTTCATTGGTCAGCCGGTTAGCGCGGTCGATGCTAGTACTAGTAACACACCGAGTTTAGCAGTGCGTACGACCCTTGTTTGGAGAGACCACAATCAAACAGCTCGACTGCGGTCGTTGTGATCTGACCGACCGTTCGTTGTACAGGCCACAACCATCATAGCCACGACTATTAATATGTACAGTTTTGTTGATGTGGCCGACCGCTATTCTTGTACAACAGAGGCCGCAACCGATAGCCTAGACCGCTGTTTGTAGGGACCTAGAACCAAGCAGGTTGACTGCAGTTGTTGGTGATGTTCCGACCCTTGTCCAAGAAAAAAACGCTGTTAAGTAGGCCGATGCCGAACCCCGCAATACCTGTAGAACAGCGTTCCAGCACGTGCCTTCTTGTCCTCTCCTTTCGGCCCTCTTCCCCCCCCCCCTTTTACCTCTGATCGTGAGTTATGGGATGGAATCGGGGACATTCAAAATCAGATATTGATTTAAAATCAGATATTGTAAGATACACCGGTGTCACTTCAGCGGTGAAGCCCTCGGCTACCCGTGACACAAATGTGCTGCCCCTCGTCCTGACTTTCGAGTGGCCGCTCCGTGCCCCTCTCGCGTCGGATAAAAAACGCAACTGTTGCGTTTCGACGAACTGGTCGGATAAAAACGTAACCGACAAAATCCCGAAACGGCACACGTATCCGCCGCATCAGTGTTTCATCGCCGTGCTCTTGGTGGAAGCGTCCCGGATGAAGGGGCTGGTGCAGTACGAGCCGTTCAACATGGCGACGGCCATGCGATGGTTCCCCATCGCCATCTTCTTCTGCACGATGCTCCTCTCCTCCTTCCTGTCCATGCAGTACATGGGCGTGCCGATGGTGAGAAATCTTTTTTTATCTAGGGATGGAACGTGAGCTCTATGTAGGTTGACGAGATGCCGTGTTGTTGGAAAGGCTTGTCCTGCACGTTGCGTTTCGAAAAGATGCGGGAGATTGACCGCCGTGTCGCAAGCCAAGGAAGTGGTTACGAGACATGGATTTGTCACGTAGCTGTAGGCATACGGTTGTGGTATGGTACGCAGCAGTACGATAGATACGGATCCCGTCACAGATGTCACAGATACAGCAGTATGCCAAGCGATCATGCTTTTGCCCCCCTTGACAACATGTTTTATGGTTGATCCTGGTCTCTCAGGTGTGGAACGGTAAAGCGCAGCATTTTTGCTATGAGGTACGATGTGATGGGGTATGTATGGGGTGAGACTTGGAGCCGACCGAAATGCCGCTGTTGATACTGACATTTATTTTTTACACCATTGCTGCTGTTCCCGCCAGGTGACGGTGTTCAAGAGCTTAACAAACCTCATCATTGTCGCGGGAGACTACTTCTGGCACAGCCAGGTAGCCACCCCGCTCGTGCTCCTCAGCCTGGCGGTCATGACAGGCGGAGCGATCCTTGCCTCTTGGAGCGATATCGAGTTTTCGTGAGTACAGCAGTACGTACAGACACGCGTTGTTATTGCCACCACCTTTTGTCAGGCTGTGACCACGGGAATCGACCGTGTCAAGTGTTCTATCAGTACTGGCAGATGAAGGTACTGCACTGAGAAATCGGAACATGGTTGTTTGTTTAGTGTGTACGGGACCACGATGAAAACAACAACGACAACAACCATGGAGACGGGCGTGAGAACAGTCCAAACCTTTTGAACCCTTGCACGAAGCCACGGTAGCCTGGCGTCTTGCACCGATATGGAGCGTTTCGTGGGCGAACATGTGCGCTGGCCGTATGGGCTACATATCGTCGTGGCAGCCCTACCCGAAGCCAATCCGCGGTATTCATTGGTGTTGGTGTGCAATTGAGAGAGTCGTTGTTTGAGTCCCTACATGTATACATAGCAGCAGGTGGCGGCCTATGTCCGAGCAGAGCCAACCTTTTGGAGGAAGGGCGACGCGTTTTTCGGGGGGGGTGCCGTCACCGCCGACCAAATGACTTGCTCTCTTGTTTTGTGTTGTGTACAGCGGAGAACGTTGTCTGACGGACATGTCGACCTTGGGACAGACTCTGCTTGCCGTGAATGCCCATTCGAATGGTACTGCTGCTGCACCTCATGAGCGCTGCGCTTTTTTACGAGGTCAAGAGTGTCACGGTACCTTCTGCCTGTGCTGCTGTTGGTGTCAATCGTGTTCGTTTGCCGGCGTCGTGTACTAGATGACGGCGTTTGATTGGTGCCGCGGCCACATCATTCAGAAGGGAGGCCCTTGCGTATGTGTCGTCCCTCTTGCCTGCGCGGTGCCACGCGCTAAGTACGTATTGCACTTTCCTTGTTGCACTTTCCTCACGAACAAGGACTGAGAACACAAGTAATCCCTCTGCCAACGCCAACAGTTTCAATCGTTCTTCTCGCCGGTGAAGGGTTGTATCGTTTCGGTTTTTTGTGACGTTTCGTTTCGGTCTTTGTGACGGTCCGTTTCGAATCCAGGGCGTGGGGCTACTTCTGGATGTCGGCGAACTGCTTCGCGACGGCTTCGTACGTGCTGACGATGAAGTTCGCTACCCGCACCATGAAGCTGCCCAAGTTCGGCATGGTTTTCTACAACAACTTGCTAGGTCAGACGATGACGGCTGCGGCGGTCTGACGTCATCGGCGGTTCTTCGCGTTTTTGTTGCCCTCGAGTCGATGTTTGCGGGTGGCGCGAGTAGGCGTGTTTCTTGCGAACAAAAGGGGGAACAGGTTGATCTTCGCGATGGTGAAACACCGCTGGTGGATTTTGAAACACCGCCCTGGGTCAATGGTGATCGATACGGCGGTGGAGGAGAGATATGGCAACCAGTATCATTCGCGTAGTGATTCTGACGGCAGAGTACCAGGAGCGGAACCGAGTAGCTGCCCGAGCTTTGCGGCGGAGGGTGGTTTAATGGGAAGGTTTGCCGCCATGTTTGTTTCGTGTGATAATGTTCATGGTGCAAGGATCAAGCACACATCTTCCGCGCGTGCCGGAGTGGCGTTGCGGGGTGTACATACATGTGGCGACGTCCTTGACGTTTGGAACATTCCCGGAATTTCCGTCGTCGCTGAAAATGCTCCCCGTACGACCGTTGGATGCATCTCGTGACTTAACGCTGTTCGAGTAGCACGCCAACAAAGAAGCGTCATCTATGGTGCGATGACGTCAACTAAAACTCCTGTCTATCGTGCAACGCAGGGTGCCTAATCATGCTGCCGTTGGCTGTGTGTTTCGGAGAGGTCTTCACGTTGGAGAGCACGAGCTTGGTTGGCTTTCTCGACCGCGCGGATCTGCACACTCCCACGTACCTGGGCATCAACCTCGGTGCCGGTAAGCGCGGAGTTTGTTGGGTTCAAGGGTGGGCGGGCGGTGGACTGCGTTTTTTTTTTTTTTCGTTTTTTTAACGTTTCCGTGACGTTCTTTGCATGAAAATCGTTGAATTGTAGGTGTCCCGCAGAAAACGCCCGCACTGACGATCCTCTAGTTTCGGCCGAGGCTGGGATGCTAGTTCTTACTTGGTAGTAGTCTTGTGGGCTACAAATCGCTGCTTCACAGTTCTGGGTAGATTTTTTGTGTAGTGGTTATTAACCGCCTCACAAATAGTGCTCAAGTTCTTAGATTTGGGATGTTTTTGCGACGCTGTATCAATTTTTGTACTGCCGAGTTTTGTGCTGCAGGCGCTCTCTGTACTGTTGGGGCATTTTGCTCTTGAGCTCCCTCCTCCCTATGCTGTCGGTGAGGTGGCAGTTTCTCGCCCTTGGCATGACAGCAGTGTCTGTTCTCTTGACTGCAGTATTCGTCCTATCTCTGTTGATGTGGTTCGGGAATCTGCGTGTGCATGGAAGGCTGTGTTGTGCTCTTGGCGAGAAGATGAGCCTAACAAGGAAGGGCATCAATTAACCAAAACAACTTGTGTGTGTAAAACAGATTCCCCATTTGTAGATGAAACGCGAGGACGCAAATGTGTTGGCCAAAAAGCGACAACACCTTCTGCGTCTTTGCCCGCTAGCAGGGTTCGTGTACTCACGTATTGGACATACGTCTCTCCTTTGACTTGGGTACTACAACGTTGAGCGGACAAAAATATTGAATCACTCCTCTCGCGGAGCACTCTCTTCTGCAACTAACGCTGCTGCTGCTGCTGCTGCTGCTGCTACTGCTGCCGCCGCTGATGCTGATGCTGATGCTGTTACTTGTGTGCAGGCGCGGCCGGGTTTTTCCTGAACTTCGCGGCCCTGTGGTGCGTGAGCGCTACGTCGGCGACAACCTACGCCGTCGTGAACACCGTCAACAATGTAAGGGGGCAGACAGACAGACAGAAAGACACCGCTGCTGCACTCGCTCGCGCGCCTGCACACGCACACGCTCTAGCTTGAAAATGTTGGTGTTCTTTTACCCGCGCTACATTATGCATACGAGACTGACGCATTTTCATTGGTCAGTCGATTAGCGCGGGTCGATGCCAATTCAAGAGATACTCACACTTAACGCTCGTCTTCGAATGAAGTAGCAGCGGTATAGAAGGTGCTACCTCCACACACACGCACACTTTGATGCTTGAATGTCAGAGTAAAAAGAAGCAGGGTTGGATGGTTGTTGTCATTGTCCCTTTGGACATGATACTTTCGAGGGCAGGGAGGGCGCGTCCTGCAGATGGGAGGATATCCGTTCGACTGCACTGGTTTATCTAGAACGGACACGCATCTATTCTGCGTAGGGCGGGTTCTAAGGCTTGACGGCGTTGCCCGAAGAGCGGCAGTGGTGGAATGGCGGTGTCGTGAACAAGAGGGGAAGATGCTATCGTATGCATAGATTGCACGACACCACACACACACACCTTGGGACCGTCTGTCAAAGCTCGAATGTTCTGCATCAAACAGCAGTGTCCGTGCCGAAAATATGGCGGCGTTGGAGCAACCTTCTCGTCGAGAGCTTTCCGAAATCATACTGGTTGATTTTGGCATATGTTTTGTCGTGGAGTAATCTAGCTTTGAAGATCGATCCAGGGGGTGGTATTTTGCGTCATGAAACCTATGGTATCGGCAAAGTAGAACGACGCATGCTCTCCAGACCATTCCGTCCCCGTGTCTTCTGTTTTTTCACGCGTTCGCATGAGAGTTTTGCTCGGTGAACAACATTCCTCTCCGGGTATTGTATACGCATTGGTTTTCTTTCTCGTCTCGAAGAACGGGACAGTATGTTGACTCGTTCGCACTTTATCTCCGCGATTTTTGCCCCGACGTGATTTGGGAAACGCACAACAAACATTTACTCTGTACACGGCATACTGCGGTGCTTTTCTGTGTCGGCAAGTTCGTGGCCACCTCTCCCCTGTCCTACAAATGTTCTCGGGACTGCTCGCTCAAACTTTGCCGTTATTCCATACCGGCCTTGCCCCGCGATGCGATGTGATTCGATCTGATGTGATGTAATGCGATGCGATGCGACGTTTTATGACGCAACATGATGCGCGAGAGTTCAATTTAAATGTGAACGAAATGCGACGTTGTCTAATGCGACGTGGTGCGACGTGATGCGACGTGATGCGTGCAGTTCCCCGTGTCCATCCTGGGGTACTACCTCCTTCCCGGCGCCCGCATCTCCCACCAGCAGTGGGAGTTCATTGTCGTCAACATCGTGGGAGGCTTTATCTACTCCGCCGCGAAGATCAAGGTATCTAAATTAACTCCCTCCCACTTTTTGGAATGGCATGATTGATTCACGTGACCCCCACCAACCCCCGCCCCCCCGGCAAGATGTGATGTTCGGCTTCTTTTTTCCGTTCAGCACGCCCGGCCCTCGCGAGGTGCCGATTAGGCTTCGTTTCTCTTTGGTTGTCTGGGCTCTTCCGGTACGGTATTTTTCTGTTCGCGCTTCCACGACCGGGTAGAATCAAACGCCTGGGATAGTCCCCACACATCGAAGTGCTACAACGCAGGGCGAGTCGATCATTGTGGTTGTTTTGTACGTCGGCAGTGACGCCCGGTGAACGCTTCCTATTAAATTCTTTTATACTGCTGTGGGGGGGAAACCAACCCGTTGCGGTCCTCGAGCGTAGCATGCAGCCTACTACCGTTCAACAGTCTTGCTGGCGCTGTGTCTTGTTCTCTTTTCTTTTATATGTGGACCAACTGCCTTTTCTCGGCTCGTCATACTTTATTTGTTGCGTCTTGATTTACCTCAGTAGTCCGCTGCGGTTCAAGAGAGATTGCTCCAAGAACAGGCACGGACTGACGAGAGTAAAAAGGCGGCTTGTCCCGGCTACATATGAAGAAAATACATGCGATATAGTTCGTGGTCTAGGGTATAGTTCAAGAGAAAAACGTAACATTCAGCAGGGTGTTCAGTGGCTTGTCCCGACCCTCTCTTATTCATGGTGGTAGCCGATACTGATTTTCGCTGCCCCACCGCTACGTGTCCATTTGGTGTTCACCAGGAGCAAAAGGCGAAGGAGCGCGCGGAGGCGCTGCTGGCGTCTCAGGACAACGGAGACGTGGAAGCCATACCGCTTGTGGGGGGCACAACGGACGACCTCAAGAGCCGCAACAGCCCAGGCAGGCGTAGTTAACAAAGAGATCTTGCCGCAAAAATCTTGGATGGATGTTGAGCCTTGTGTCGAGCGCGGGGGAACTAGCACTGTGCTTGCAGCAGGCGCGTGGATGGCGTTTCAGCGTGACCTATCTACATGCGCGGTCGTCGCTTGGTTGATGGTGTGAGATGAGGCTGATGGTGAAAAAAAAAAAACGGTGATTTATTTGTATGGTATTCTTCAGTCGGGTAAGGTTTACCGGGCGGAGGAAGCGTCGTCGTGTGTGCGCCCGCCGCTATTTTGGCGACCCGTCAAGTTTGGTGTGGCGTGGCATTGGTCGACGTCTCACGAGGTCAAGCGATGCGCGCGGTGTGGTTTGTGGCTGTGCGCCGCCCCCATAAAGTCAAAGATTGCCGCGAGATGACTCCTCATCCTGCATGTGCGCGATGCGTTCTCGTAAAGATGCTGGCGCGTGCGGTGTGCTGCTGACGCGCACCGGTTTGATTTTCTCTGGGTTTTTTGGGGGATAGGAACAACGAGAGCACATGGAAGCTCGTCTGCACGTAGTCTAAGCGTACTTTTTGTTTTTGTAACGGCGGCTGAATGGACTGGTATGTGCGCGATGCGTGGCCGGTGTAGTGGAAATCGAGGACCAAACTGTCTTGTTCAGGACATCAGATCCTGCGTGCAAACTGATTTTACCTCGACAAGAACATTTTTGGTACCAAGTGTGGTTTGGTGTAATGAGTGTTAACCGAAGGCGAGGGGAGGTAGCGCATTGATGTGATTGTTAACGGAGGGGGGGGGGTCTCACGGACGACTTTATGACGGGGCGTCCATCGCTCATGTGGGGCAAGAAGACGAGCTATTGATGAATCGGAGGGCGAGAGTCCAAGCCTGGCGGTAGTGGCAAGATAAGGGGGGACGGAAGTAACGGCGTTCGAGATGAAAGATGCCGCTGTTTTGTGATTGGCCAGAAATCCCTGGTCGACATGGCGTGTCGTTTACGGCGGCGTCACTTTGTTGTTGAAAAATCAAATCCAATTCGCTCGTGTAATAAAGCAGCTTCTCCTCTATGCTCGATTGTGACTGCCTTCTCTGCTCCGCCGTATGCCGAGCGTCAAAAAACCGATGCTCTCGGTGCCTACGCTCCTTGAAGCACGACGTTGACTTAACAATGCTGTATTAGGAAAGGGGCGGTGCGCGGAAACTTGGCTGGCCTGCGTACATCTAGATTGGAACTAACTCCCAACGGTGGTGCCAGATTCGACGTCGCTTTTTTAGTTCCGCCACTTTTTTACCCCTTGTAATGGTGTTTAGGCTGGGCAGCACAACAGTTTACGTGGGGCTTGATCCCAGTTGAGGCTTTGTTCTCTTTGTGACAGTCACCCTAGGCGATGTTTGATGAGTCAACGTACGTAAAATCATTTTTACGGGTGGAACCTGCCGCGTGCTGAAACCTCGACTCTAACCACCGCTACCCGACATTGATAATTGTCCATTGCCCTCTCCAGCAGAGGACGTTGTGCGGTGTTAACGCGGCCACGCGCGCGTCAATTTCACCGCCGCTCTGTGGCTTGAGGGCCACACTGGTTTCTCCTCTGGTAATCCGAATCGTTGCCACAATTCTGAAGCTTTAGCTTCAGTCTCATCGTTCGACATCCGTGGGTGGGTGGAACTTTCATTCGCATCCCCCATCCCTTGCCCAACCCGCTCTAAAACGCTTATTATCTCGAGCTACAGCAGTGCAAATCTCGTGGCGCATCGAGTATGGTTCGGTGTGGAATCGCAAATCATGACCCACCCCCGAGTTTGAGCAGCTTCCGCCTCCTGTGGCCGGCAAGAGTAGGCCTTGACTGTTCCTTGCCTGTTTCGCCATGAAAACGGCCGGTTGAACAGCGAACGAGGGTCCTGCGTGATGCGCGCCACATATTTTTTTTATGCTTTTCTTTTGCATCTATCGCGAAGGCAAGCGCATTGAGATAATAGTTCGTCGTGCTTCTAGTCTGCACAGATAGTCGTGTTCTTCTTTAGTTGCCACTTCATACCAGAAGAGAAAGTCTCCAACTTACAGCAGTACCTCCACAGCAGTTCGGAAACGACGACTCTTTTTCTTTTGTCGTGTTGTTGCTGAGCGCACATTGGATGTGTCGTTCGTTACACGTGTTCAAGCCTGCGGTGGGCCAGAGGGATTAGTAGTCTAGAGTAAGTGTCTTCTCGAGAGTTCATGCCTTGTCTTCTCGAGTTTCTCTTCCTTTAGTCTACCTCGCTCGCTCTGTTGCATTTTCGCCGTTAGGTTCCACTACATCAAACGTCAACGGCAATCGTTATGCACCTTGCTGAGTATGAGGCTAACCGTGTACCAGGCTGCTGTGTGAGGCGATGGGCGCCGCCTCTTTCCATCAAGCAGTGCGCATGGCCCCTACGGTTCGCCGCACATGCAGTGCTGTGTGACAGCTTTCAGGGGTTCAGAGCGGCGACGGTGTTTTTCGCCGGTAGGGCCCCAGAACAACGCGAACCGAGACTGCTGTTTCATTGTTGTGGGGTCCCCCACTCACCCACCCATCCATGAACTTCAGCAGTTAGTTTTCGTTGGGGGGATGTTTTTCTTGCCATGTCCATGACGTGGTGCCTCGAGTGAGTATGGTTCGGTAGGGAATCGCAAACCACGACCCCTCCCCGAGTTTGAGCATCAGCATCCGCCTCCTGTGACGGACAAGAAGACCGGAAATTGCCTCGCCATCCAAACAACAGCAGTTGGCCGGTTGAAAATAAGAGGGTCCGGTCCGCCGAAGATTTTTTTTTTTCGATTCTTCTCCAGCTGGATATCATGCTATTACCATGTATGTATCGGGTACTAGTCTAGAGCCCCTCGCCACAAAAAAAGCGCATTGCGCATGGATAGGCGTAGTGAGAAGTACCGGTCGAAGACTGACGGTTTTTTCGGGTGTGCGTGAGGTCGCCTCTTATATTCTTGTGCAATGTTTTGCTTTGTTGTCCAGTCTATGCTTACCACCTCGCACAGCGTATTGAAGCGAGCGGAGGGTCCGATGCTAATCTATCTGTCGTTGACTTGCGGGCCCTTGTTCTGGTCCATTTTATTTTCGTATTACTTTGGGTAAGGTAGACTGTGACCACGGCGGGAATTGCAGCACTTATGAAGTATTAGTGTGTAAAACGACGTGTTCATGGATGGGTAATGAGAGGTTTCAATTCAACGACTACAATAACTGACTGGAGTATGGCGGGTGCTCCGTGTTATTATTCCTGGCATGTGCCGGCAGTAGGTGACATAATATATCGCATCATCAATACTCACAGCTAGACTAGTCTCATATATCTGTCTAGTGTTAGTCCACGACGACGAGGATGTCAAACGATAGGTTTGTTTCGGAAAGCTATCGGTGCCAACGCCTCCCGGCCACGCTTTCTGCTGTGGAGTAACCGAGTTTTGAAAATTCAAGATTCAGGGGGTGTGATATCTCATGCCATCTAGTCTACTCTGTGTACAGAACTCTTGGTCGTGCTCGGTGGGCGAGCGTGTCGCGGTTTGCGCCCTCGACCTCATTTACCGCTAAAAAATGGAAAGCTTTAAACAGGCAACGCGACGATACTTGTCGAGTTGCTATCACAATCCTGTGTATTCCACCTTAATATCACGGCTGAAGACTTCGTCTGTTGGTGCCTTGTCTTGTTGTCGAGATGTATACTGTACTCCTTTTTTCACTGCCTACTTTCCACCTAACCTGCGCCAAAAGACATCGTACCACACGTTTCACCTTCTCTTCGGCCCCTTTCGTCACGGCGGCACTCTCTTCCCCTGGCCGTCAGGATCCGAGATCCTACCCCTTCCTTCCTTCCTTCCTTCCTTCCTTCCCTCCTTCCTTCCTTGCCCCCTTCCACTTGCTGCACCTAAGCAACAAAATAACTGAACACACGCACGCAGGCATCCGGTACCAGTGAACCATGCTACAAGTACCAGGCAGCGAGGGGCGGGCGAGACAACTTCCTCCTTCGGGACAACATGACATGTCTGGCCACCTACAGATAGCTCCAGGTTGGATGCCCCCCTTTCGGACCGGCAGCCGCGGTCAGGAGGAGGTGAGCCCGCGCGCACACCCCACAGTTCATTGAAAAACACACGTGAAACGACTCTACAATCAACTAAAGTATTACCTCCAACAGGCTTTTCACCCCCTCGCGCACGTCCGCCGAATTTCGTACATGTGCCCCAAAAAAACGTTCGTCGGTCAGAAACAACACCAAAACGGGGGGGTTCCAGACGGTTCCATCACTCACATAGGGTACCCCGGGAAGGAGTAATAACTTTGAGATATGCACATGAATGCAGTGTTGCCCTAGGAGATGCATGAAAAGACGACCCAAATAATCTGATATCCAGCCATCATTGGGTGAAGAACACGAAACACACCGTTTGCGAGCGCAGATACATGAATGATAGGACGTGCCACACCTCGCAAAGCAATAAATCAAATCCGTTGCAAAAGAACACCGCCGCACGCGACACCCGTATAATGTACTGAAGGGCACATCCAAAAGCCATCTATAGAGCCATCTACAGATAGGTCGACAAAGCCGCCCTTCCTTTCGTCTCTCGCCAGAGCACGCTACTACACTTCCTTGGAGATCACGCCCCCCCGGCTGGTCCTCCGTCCTTCCTTCACATACTACGCACGGCCTCGCTTCTCGAGCTTGCGCACGCAGCGGAGGACCTGCCACCGGTACAGCATGTTGTCTCGGCTCCTCGCCGAAAGCCTGCGTCAAGGACACCACATCGCTTCATGATTCACGTGACATGACATCACATGGCGTGATACCGCATCAAGTGATATCACATCAAACGACATCGCATCGCATTACGTGGCATTACATGACGTCACATGACATCGCATCACATAACATCACCGTGACATGACACGACATCGTATCACGACACATGACATCATATCACCCCCGGTACGGGGGCGGGAAGCAAGGAGGACGGCAAGAAAATTCCAGCCCGCTGTACTTCCGAATTGAACCCCGCGATGAATCACGACGGTTCTTCCTTCTTGATGAAGAACAAACCGGGGGGAGGGGGGAGAGGGGGCGGGGGCTGAATTCCCCTGCCGCCAGAACGATAAACCACCAGGACGTCGCGCGAAACGCCGAGCGAACCGCCAAGTGTTGTTAGCACGCACACAAATACGCCAAAATCTACAGGTCTAATCAAGCAGTGAATCGCTCGAGGACCTGGTGCCAGATAGTATTTCCCGACTCGACTCAAGGACAAGCAATGTAGGACAAACATAAACACACTCCAGACCTTTGGCGATCTTTCGGGCCTAAGGCCCATTACACTGGCATTCTCGAAAAGACGTTTCGGCTAGGCACGAGCGGTACCTTGCCGCATGGTGCCATAGTACCTTACCGTGAGGATCCAAAACGCTGGCCACCCTCAACTTGGGCGTACCCGACCTTCCCGACAACACCCCGACTCCACCTCGTCCAAATTTCCGAACTTCGTCGCAACTGCTCCAGCATGGTACTGCCATAGGTCGACGATGGGCGCCCGTTCGGTGTAACGTGCTCCGACCCCACTTGCGCCAACGACGCTTTCATGGCCGCATTTCTATGCAAAAGACAGTATCCCTGCAAACCTACCAAAACAAGGGCCTGCACCGCTATCGTAGCGCAACGCCCTACATAGAAAGGGCAACCCTGCCCAAAGATAGACAACTAGCAGATAGCTGTTGAGTCAGATAGCGTTGCGTCAGGTAGTCGATAAAGTCAGTCGGAGTCACCTATTGAACTCCTCTGGCTCGAGCCCGTTAGCCCTGACGATGCCCTCCGCCGCCATGGGAAAGCTTTGGCACTCCTTTCGGATCCGCGGCGACGCGATGCGGCCTATCTCAGGATGGCACAGCCCCGAAGGCAGGTCGTCGCTCCCCACCTCCTGCAACGGCGGTGCGTTGGTTAGTTGCGGTACCGGGAGAAACAGCAGTACCAACAGCAGCAAACAAGCGGATGCCTGACAACTAGGATAAAGAGCATACGTAACCATGTTAGAGGAGTAACGCCAATGAGAGCAGGAGTAGCAGCAGCAGCAGCAGCAGCAGCAGCAGCAGCAGCGAAAGAAGCGAAAGAAGCGGCAGCACCAGCACCAGCACCAGCACCAGCAAAAGAAACAGCAAAAGCAACAGCAAAAGCAACGGCAAAAGCAACAGCAAAAGCAACAGCACCAGCGCAAAGGTAACAGCAGAAGGTCACGAGCTGTGACACGAGCAACGCGCGCGCCCCATGTACCGCCAGAGAGGCAGAAAGCCTTGGCTTTCCGATGTTTCGCTTCCCACTAACTAGCCTCTGACGACCGCGGTACGCGTCAAAATGGCGGCATTCAACAACCAATGATACCGCTTGCCATGCATAGCACGGTTCAAACGATTCCAAAACCGTGCCAGAAAAACAGCCATACTGTACGACGGCACGACATCTCACCTTCATCAGGCGCCTCCTCTGCCTGAACCTCAAAGCTTCGATCTCTCTGAGGCTCTTGGCGAACAGCATCTTCTTGTCGGGGGGAGGACCGGTTCGAGGCGTCTTCACCTGATTCATCCAGTTAACAGCCAATAACATGAACCGCAAAGCGGGCCGTCATTCAAGAGCACCGCCACCAAAAGCACAAACTAACCAAACAACAGCGATGCCTGCAATAGCAGCAGTCAGCTAAAGCCATGACCACGAAAGAAGTGCCTCACACACAGCGCAAACCAAAACGAGCAAGCTCGCGACGCCCCGCCGTCATCGTCATCACCCGCTGGGCTCTGTTGACAGCCCTCCTCCGGTCGGCGGTGGCGGTGCGACGAGATACTTGCTAAGGCGGGCGCACCCCCGTCATCGTCATCATCATCACCACCAAGACGTAAACGCCTGTGTTGATTGCCGTTTACAGCAGTGCCCACTTGCGCGAGAACCGAAACGAGCAAGCCCACGACGCCATCATCATCATGATCATCATCACCTGCTGGCCTCTGTTGACGATCCTCCTCCGCTCGGCCTTGCTGAGAGGAGAAGAAGGAGCAGCAGCACCACTCCCGGCCTCGACCACTACGGGGTCCGGGAGCGGCCTTATCTTGGTCCCGCGGAGGTCGGCGTTGACGCGGTAGAGGTAGGCCTGGTGCTGAACGCGGCTCCGCAGGTCCTTGCGCTTGGCCAGGATGTGGCTCAGCTGGTTGTAGCGGTTCGTGGTCAGCCCGTTCGACCGGATGATGTTGCCCGCCTTTGTGATGTTTTTCATAACGAGCGAAAAGGTTTTTTCCCCAAGGGCAAACACAGGCAGGGAGGGGAGGATCCTCATGTTTTGCATGCCGCAGTTTTTAAACTTTTACCACTCGGGGGGGGGGGGGGGGGGGGGGGGGGTTGGGGGGGGGATGGTGAAGCGGGGAAGGAGAAGAGAGGAGAGGGGGGCGACGCTAGGAGGGGGCGCCGCGATAGAGAGGGGGGTCGGCTTCACGTTGGGCACAGTACGCATAATATGTCTCTTTTTGTGGGGTTAGGGTGGGTGGTATCGAACAAGATAGGAAGGTGGCCTAAGGCAAGGGAAACAACATCTCCAGGTGTGGGGCGTACAGTAGCAGCACAATTCGATACGTCATACCTTCAAGTTGCGGAGGGTGGGGGGGGGGCGTGGGGCTTGCTTGCCGAATCAGTGCGGCTTGGCGTTGACACCCGATTCGCCGACAGGGGGGGGCCTCCCACACTTTCGACAGTTTTCCCTTACGACCCATGGGGTGACCCATAGTCCGCTCATGGGTACCCCGTTAGGCCCATGGGCTTGCTGATGGGTAGCCCATGGGCAGCCCATGGGCGGCCCGTGAGCAACCCATGGGAAGCCCATGGGCGGCCAATGAGAGCCCTTCAACCGAACCAGTGTACTCCTAAACAATAGATCTCCGTTAGAACGGGTACAATAGCGGTTAATAACCCTAACGCTTGCCGTAACCCTATCACCAAGCCCACATGATACGTGCTAGGTTCGCGCTGGTGGCTAAGTTCTAGGTTGATGTGCAGGTCGCTAAATTCTAGGTTGATATGCCGGTGGCCATGTTCTAGGTTGAAGTGCCCACATGGGCACTTCATAGGCTGCCCATGGGCCGCCCATGGGCAGGCTCATGATTCAGCCCATGGGCAGCCCATGGGCGGCCCACGAAGTGCCCATGGTGCCCATGTGCGGCCCATGGGTGACCCATGGGTGTCCCATGGGCGGTTTAGTAAAACTGTCAGAAGCGTGGGAGATTGGGGGGGGGCGGGGGGGGGCAGTGATCCCATCTAAAGGAACCAGGAATGTTGATTCACAGCACCAATCGGTTATCCCCTGTTACGCCTCTCTGAGGAACAAGAGACGACGATGGGGACGAGGTAACAAACAGCCTGCACCCTTGTGTCAACCTACACACAACAGTAGAAGCGTGTCAAAAGAGAACGGAAAGCTGTTGTAGCTACTTCCGGCAGCTCTGGCGGAATTTGGGGAACCAAGACCAAGCTTGCCTGAAGAAGGTAGTCCTTCTGAGCCTGCCGAGCCTCCTGGGAGATCCACGGGGTCGACATCCACCTGGTGTGCTGGCCTGGCTTGGTGATCTTCAGGAATGGTACGATAACGCCACGCAAGGCACGCGAAAGCAGCAGCAGCACCACCAGCGATAGTTATTTGCACATGCACGCGACTAACGAAGGCGTGTTTTTGGCCGGTACAGGACTACGGTACAGCATATCTGAAGCGCTGTGCGCAGAGGGCGGTGGGAATCAAGCAACAAGCAGCTGGTCCTTTTTGCCTTCGTAGCGTACGGTTCACCCGAATGAACACTTTATTTCGTGTGTTACCCCCATGGTTTGTATGTATCCGCTGGATTCGTTTTTCCCTTCCCAATAGTTGGGGGAAAAACCAAAGGCACTCACGCTGAGGTACACGTGTGCGAGCGGGTTGGTAGTGTCCTTGATGACCCTGTCTCTCTCCTGCCGCAAGAAGTGCGTGGCCGCCAAGGCCGCCGAGTACCGATCCAGCTCCTGGTGGGGAGCGTTCGCGTCCACGCAGCCAAGAGAAGGAAGCATCATCGTCAGCCATCAGCAAACACCGTGGCAACAGCGGGAGCAACATGAACAAAACGGGCACCGCATCAACCATGTCGGAGGAGTAACGCCAATGAGAGCAGCAGCAGCAATAGACAGGCGGATGCCTGATAACCAGGATCAAGAGAGTATACAACCATGTTAAGAGGACTAACACCAACGAGAGCAGCAGCAGGAGCAGCGGCAGCAGCGGCAATAAAAACAGATGGGTGCATGACAACTTGGCGCAAGAGAGTAGATACAAGTCTCGCCACACGTGGTAAAAGAACTTTCAAGAAACGTTGCCCTTGTTTAGCAACCCGTTCCACCCGCGAAAGTCGAACACGCCCCGGTCTAACCTCAAAGAAATTTCATTTTCTTGAGGTCAAGCTGGTCCTGAAAACAAAAACACCGGGTGTTGTATGTGCTACTGTGCGTGTGCTATAGGGGGTTGGGGGTGTGCTCATGTAAACGCTTGCCGAAGTCGTTAGGCCATGGACCTCGTATCCCTACAATGCCGGACGGAGCGATACACATGGCGGGTTCTCGGCGGCCCAGGCTAGATGTGTTTCACAAGGATGAAAGTGTCATCTTGTGTGTGTGTGTGTGTGTGTGTGTGTGTGTGTGTGCTGTTGTCGCAAGCGGTATCTTTGTGATGGGAGGAGGTGGGTCTTATCTTGCGTGGGTGGGTGTCCTGTTGTCGCGATGCGGAACGTGTACACATCACTCCCCTGTATTTTGTCCCGGCCACCCTCTTCTCTTGCCTTTTCCTCAGGTCCGAAGAGAGACACCGATTGCCCTGCTGCTGCTCCTGCTGCTCGCGTTCCCCCCCCCCCCCCCCC